GGCGAGAGGAGTGTGTGTGTGCGCTCGCCCCGAGGCCGCTTCTACCAGCCGATCGAAGTGGCTGGTGACTGCACTTGGGGAGCTTCCATCGCCCGAAAGAGACTGCCCTAAAGGTGAGGGGACACGGGTAGCCACGCCACGCGCTGAAGCGGCTGGGGACTCTGCCTTCAAGGGAGCTTCTATCGGCTATCGAGGTATTCTAGCCTAGGCTACCTGCAGGGCACTCCTAAAGGCAAGTTTTCTCCCCATCCCCCCCGCCCTTCCCCCGCCCATTTCTCTTCACCTCGTGCAGTTCTAACGAACGATGTGAGAAATGGCGGGGAAACGCATGATTTAAATAGGCCTAAATTTTGGGGGCGGGGCTTAATTTCACCTAATGCCTAGAAATCATGCTGGGCCTTCCTATTGGTGGAGGCCGTATTGTTGGAGAAACATGGTATATATATGATAAAATCAAAGTACAATTTCAGATTACGTTGGAGCAGCAAGTGATAGAATTACTTTGATGCGCTACTGCCAGTGCAGTAAAGGACTTGAGCCACAGGAGGAATCCTATAGAAAATATTGGTCCAACATTTGCAAATTGCTGTGACTTCATGTGACCAGGAACAGGCCAGGATACAGTGCTATTTCATTTTGCTGTTCAACAATTCTATTTTGTTGTTATTTTAGGAATTATTATTTTTAAAGAAACTAAATTCTCCACAAACTCTTTTTGTACAGTGTAATTAGAATAGGATGTGCATATTATGAGGTTAACTAATTCCAACTCTGTGGAATTTTCTTATAGAGATTGAAAAAATAATAGAATAACAGAATTGAAAGAAACCTTGGAGGTCTTCTAGTCCAACTCCCTGCTTAGGCAGGAAACCCTACACCACTTCAGACAAATGGTTATCCAATATCTTCTTAAATTATTCAAGAGTTTGGTAACAAATATAAGACAAGTATAAGCTTTAAAATAAAGTTTTGCAGCTCAGGCTTATAATACTGATGTCTAGTAATGGAAATTTACTCAAATTAACTTGGAGAACAAGAAGTTGAGTCTATGGGTTTCAATTGACTTACTAAAATAGAAGTTGATTCCCCTTCTGCCGAATCCAAGAAAATATGTTCAAATTCTGTAGCAACTGTGTTACCCCTGTATGCTAGCTGTTGCGTTAGTGTATGTACAAGAATTCTGATGCTTTTACTTCATATCAGTGACCAACCTAATATCACTTTAGTTAATACTTCCTAACTGTCAGAAATCCAGAGAATGATATTTAATGGACTTTACATTTCCATATACTAGACACTGTACATTAGGTTTCCTGAACAGAGCTAGTTGTTCAAAAACCATTGAAGCACTACATTTCTTAATAATTCTTTATTGAGAAAACATATTTTCTTCTAAACTGGATGTTATCCACATTTTAGGGGAAGAAAATGTAGAGAAAAGAAAACACTTTACCTTTCATTTTTACTAACTGGGTTAAATCTTTGCAAGTTATTTTCCTCAACTGTAAGCAACACTAAATTTTGCCTTTCTGTTTTGTATTCCAACCCTTCCTCGCTATCATTTTCTATCCCTCAGATTCTCAGTTTAGAGACAAGAGAAGAAGGTGTTGAGTTTGAGTCCTGGTGGTGAATTTCAAATTATTTTGTGTGCAGCAATAGAGAAATATTTTTAGTTGCCTTCTTGTGGGATGCGTTTTCTTGTTCCCAGTCTGGCCTTTTTTTGTGACCTCACATCTAAACACCACCCAGGTCCAACCTTATTCAGTAATTCTCAGAGAAGATGCAAAAAGGGAGAATATTTGCATTGATGGTTGGAGGTCACATCTATACTTTAAACTGCATTCACAATTCATTTTCCACATTCTGTACATCTAATTCAAGCTGCAATATATTTAACTGCAGAGCAGGCAGGGCAACAGAATTGGGTGAGAGGGCATGGAGAAACAAAGTGGGGAATA